AGCTGCCGCCTGGGCGGGCGGCTGGGGGAGCCGGGCCCGCCTTGGCCTCGCTCCTGGCTGCTCTGCTCTTCCCCGTGAACTTCTCCACGCCAGGAGAGGCTTTGTTTGGGCTTTTCTTTTCTTCTGTTTAAACTTCGCTGTGTTCGGATGTTTCCTGTAGTAACCTGCTCTTTATTTCATCCATTTATCTTAAGTCCGGCGTGAAGGAGTAGAATCTGAAGAGGGTGTTTTGGTTTTTTTTGTAAACTGTTCGGGAGCAGCTAAGCTTTTCGCATTCACCTAGCTTAGGTGTTCACATAGTGTAGCCTGAAAATAAACCCAAGTTATTTCAGCCGTGCAGCTGGTTCTGGTCATTGTGCAAAGCTCATAGACCGCCTCTGCGGATGCGATTAAATGCTGGCTTCTGCTCGTTTAACCGGGCTGAAAACGAGAACTCTGAATCAGGATGTCACTCCATGAGGAAGATAAATACCAAGTGCACGTAGCCAGCGTGTCCAGGGCATTGCTTCGGGCAGCATGGCTCTGTATCATTGGAAGGGTATATACAAGATAGCTTAATTTAGTACACAAATACTGGTTTCTATGCATATCAATTTTAAGACTGCTCAGTAAATAATACCCAGGCTTTTTTTTTTTTTCCTAAAGCTTTCTGTTAAGCTGAATGCTAAACATTCAGTGAAGTTTGTGTTGCCTCCTCAGTACAGAAATAGATTGTGTCACAAAAGCATATACGAAAAGGTGGTCCTTGTCCGGCAAGCGAACAGGGTTTAAATATCAGGCAGGAGCCAACAAAGGTGGTGAATGCTAGGGGAAAAAGTTCATTATTTCATCAGCAGTGATAGCAAGAAGTTCAGCAGCTGCTTTCTGGCTCTGGCTGTTAGGCACTGTCAGGTTTTAGTTCTGTAGGTCTCCTGGAAAAGAGGAGCTGAGGTGAGTGTGGAGCTCGGGCGTTGGGAAAGCGTTAGAAGAAAGGGTGAAGGCTCTGCTTTACAAGGCTGAGCTAGCAGAAGGCAGAGGATGACAGGACTGGTAAAATGGAGCTTCCATGACCTTTCTGAAGCTGTGCCCTGTGCCTTACTGGAATTTACCATTTAATTTCTACAAACCAGTTTTGGAGGACTAGAAAAGAGGAATTCAGGTTCCCACAGCCTTTGATTTGGTATCTTGCAAATCACTGCTTCACAGAAAACTTGATTGCCCACATCTAGAGCCCTAGAGCCTTTTCTGGAGCTGATCTGTACTTTAGTTGAGGGTGATGGAGAAATGCTGGATTCTCTTATAGGCAGACACGATGCTGCAATGCCCCAGGCAGAGTTAAGGGTTGGTTGTGGTTTTTCTGAAGGAGATATGCCTCATTTATTGCCTTTAATTGTGCAGTGTGTGTGTTTGCTTTTTTAATACAGATATGTTGCATTACCTTCCCAGCTGTGCGCTGAACCTGCATGCTGTGAGCCTGTTGTTTGTATTTCTTATGGCAGACTTGGTCTCTTTTGAGGAGGGTTGTAGCCTGTCCTGCTACAGGTTTAAAAGTAAACTGTGGTTCACACCTGGAAGCTTCTGATGAACTTTTTGTAGTCTTTCCCTGTAAAGTGTGTCTTTTTTTCCTCTGAAATGGGCATGTTTGCTTTCAAGCCAGACTTGCTTTGTATACGAATCTGAATTTTGAAACTTGGCTTTTAAACAGAAGGCCTGTTGAAATGTCAGCTATGCTCTTGGTTTTTAACTATACACTTTCTACGTGCCTGGATTTGTTTTTTTACTTTAGTGCTGTTAGTGTTGACTCTTTCTTCTTGCAGAAGCTCAGTCAACTGTCTCCCTTTGCATTAACTAACTGAAAAACACATTTCCGTATCAGCTGTGCTCTGATGGTTATGTCTGAGAGAACTAACAGCACTGAGCACTCTTACTCATAACACATTACAAGCCTCAATCCAAGACATAAAACAGGGAAACGGATAGCCAGGGGTTGCTTGTGTAGCTTGGAGCAGTACCCTGAAGAGCAGCCATGGGTGGAATTACCTTTTGGGCTTCATGCTTATTTCCTTGTTTAATTTGGAGAGTAGAGCACTGTTACTCTTTCCAAAATGTATTTCTTAAAGTACTATCCCTGAAATTTATTTTTTTTTTTAATTTACGTGAAAGACATCAGGTTCATTCTGAAATCTGCTGCAGCTGCTGAAAGAGGGGAAGGAGAGCCATGCACATGGCAAGGGTTGTTTTGTTCTCCATCAGCTCTGTAGCCAAGATTTCTAACTGCGTAGCTGGTGGGCAGAAGGAAGATAATTTTTTTTTTGTGGTGGACTGAGACGAGGCAATCAGTTTGTTTGCAGTTCTGTCAGGTGAATAGTTTCAGCACTGTGTGCTGCTGCTGCAGCCTTTTGGAGCAGTGTTACACTGCCAACTGAAATTGGCCCCATCCTTGGGTAGTTTTGTTGCTGCCCACAAATATCTGAGTAGTGGCATTGAAACAAGCTAGTCTTTACTGGCTGCTGCTTGGGCCAGGTTTGCTGTGCTGAAACAGTAGGGCTTTTTGTTTGTAAAGTCAGAAAGACATCAAGAGCATCATCTGAAGCTCGGGAAGTTGCACACACATCTGTAATGGTTAGAGCCCACTTCTCAATGGAAGGCTGAAATTTTATGCAAATTGCTGTCCAAGAACTGCAGGCTTGTTAAGGAGAGGTTGTGAGGTTGTGTCTAAACACTGGTTACATGCTTTGTAGTAATCCTCATGACAGCATATGGAGCAAGTAAAATTATCTCGATTTTCCAAGCACACAGAAGGAACCGGTGTTTTGGTGAGATAAATCTCATAAAATTTTGGCGTCTTAAGGCCATGCCAAGTATACTTCTCTGCTACCATGGGGCTTTGTATTTATGATTCCCACCATACACCCATGGCAGGTATGATAGTAGCGCAGTACTGCCGTAAGATGTCATTAACCTTTTATTTTTCTCATAGGTGTATGCAGAAAACTTTTGTGGAAACAAATAACTAGAAATCTTCACGAAGGAATATATTTGGTGAGTTTTATTCTAATCAGCTTTGATGTGAATTAATGTGGGCTCTACTGTTACCTCCAGAGCTTCCTAGCACTTTCAGTGAGGGTCCTGTAACAGTGTTAATGTTACAGATGGCTCTTGAATTAAAAATTCTCTTCTAAACCATTTCTTCCTTTACAGCTGTGTAAAAATTTGAAGCTTCCTATATATTTCATACTTGTGACAATATGAAAGTGTGTTTTCTTCTTCAAAAGAAATGGAAAGAGTGACTTTTTATAAGTATAAAGGTTGATACATATTTTAATGTGCTATTAAAAAAATATGAGAAGTTATCCGTTATGTCTTGAATGACTAGCACCCTTATAAGCACACAGGGGAAAAAGAACAGTAGTTTACAGGTGTTCCTTTTTGAAGTATGTTTTAAGTTCTGGGTTTGCTTCCGCTTCGTAATATATGAGAACACAAAGCTTATGTATTCATCTGCACAGATGAAGAGAAGTGGAGAGTGCCACTGATATGAGATGTAAGCTTCATGAATGTCTGTACGAGTTCTGCCAGGACTCATAGGTCCTACTTCATTCCATGTGATCAGTTAACGCAGGTGTTAAATGAAGCTGGAGGCTTTTCCCCAGTGACTCAAGATAATCCTGTATTTGGCATCACAGGATGAAAATGCCAAAGATCTGCTTGTTTGCTTGCTTGCTTGCTTTCTCTCTCCCTTCTTTTTTTTGGCCAAGTCTTGGCATACTTCGAAGAAGATTCTGAAAAACATATCAGAAAAGTTCCAAAGTTCAGGCTTCTGATAAAGCTTTGCCTTGCTGAATGCACTTGCTATATCAGTAATAATTGTGACTAATGATTAAGGGCATAGAGGACTTTGAATCTGCAGCTTCCATTTTAAGTTTCCAGAGTTCCTTAATCGATACCATGTCAGAATGACCTAATTCTCTACACAAAAGTCTTATCCTTGCACTTCCAGATGAGTGCCTTAAGTGTTAGCTGAGTCGTAATCTCTTACTGGGTCTCATGAATTTTGCTTTCTTCTTCTTTGTGGGGACACACCTTCAGCAGGGAGGGTGGAGAGGAACCTCCCTTAGGATACACTACAGTCTGGTGACCAGGGAACTCCTGCAACGTGGGACATAGGAGCTTGGACCTTACTAGACAAAGGACACATTGAACTGTGAGTGCTTTTACCTTAATGGTATTACATAAATGATAGTGGGTGGTTTCTGCTTTTCTAAATACAGTTTTTGAGGAAAAAAATTATATTCCTGCCTTCTTTTTCTGAAGACTGGATGAAGTTCTATACCACCAGGCAGTTATTCCAGGCCTTTGACCTCCAGTCAATAGAAATGCCTTAATTCTCTGGAGGGGAGCCAGGTTTAAGACATGCTCCTGTGCATAGAATTTCCTGTTCACCAGTTGTAATATACCCTGTTTAGCACATAGGATTTTGGATCACTTTTCAGAGGCTCTTAAGTCTCCTGATGTGTTAAATTTGCTACAAAGATGCATGATGTAGGCTGTAACCTAGATACCTTAAAATTTTTTGCTTAAGTCCTTTTTTTGGATCTTGGTCTTGATTCTGTGATTCACTGGAGAGCTTCTACAGAAAAATAAAAGGACTTGGATTGTGCTTTGTGAGCTCTTGTGTACCAAGTTCTATTTCAGGCCAAGTTGTGAGCCTTTCCTGACAGTGATGTGATTTCTGCTTTCACTTGCACTGATATAGTAGAACAGTGAGTAAAACCTAGCACAAGCTGGTTAGGCACATCTCTTGCAGCATCCCTAGAGTGCTTCCAGGTACTTGTAGAACCACAGATGATATAGTAGCTTTCAACTTTCTGAGCTGCAGACACCTGAAGGCTCCCTTCTGTGTAGAACGAATTCAGTCTCACAACAGTGACTTTATTTCCCTTAGCTGCTCTTCTCAGTTCTGTGTAGTACTCCCTTGGCTTCTGGGGTCTGGGATCAGGACCAGTTAACAGTGGCTGAGCTGTGGAAGATAGACCACTGTGGTCCGTGCAGTTTTAAGAGAGTGAAGTATTTCTGAGGTTTAGAAGGAGTTGCCAGTGTGTTAAATCATCGCACCTGAAGTGATATTATTGTGTCATATTGTTTTTTTACCTTTTTAAAAGTAGCTAGGGGTCAAGATTTTCGTAACCTTGAGTTCTAGGAAAGGTAGCAGGGGGAGGGAATACCTAATCTTATCATTTTTTTTATGTAGTTCTGTGATTTTATTTTTATTTTTTTTTAAAGCCTATAAATACTTTATCACTAAACTAGAAACTCTGCCTTGAAACTCCCCTGCCAGTACGTTGCTTTGCTCATTTAGTCTTGCAGGAACTGCAAGCAAATCTGACAGTGGCCTAAACTAGATTACAGAGAGTTGTGAAAGCATCTTTTACTTGTGCTGTTCGTCAGTCTGACTTTTTCCATTGGACAGGTCTCATCTTTAATACCTACGTGATGCCTAGCGCAATAGATCCTTGATAGTTCATCAGGGCTGTATCTGCTGACAGTGCTGCTGTGTCCAGTGCTGCCTTAATAGCAGAAAATACTAAAACTTCTGTGGAGCCTTGTGACACTTTCTTAGTGTTCTATGTTCAAAAATGGTAACTTATTCCAACTCCGCTCTAAACTTGTTGATAATCTCTGACATTATTTTGTCTTTTCTCATGAGATTAAATAATTTTTCTGAGCCTCTTATGAGGAATTGTTGACAGAAACTTTTTTGGAAACTCAAACAAGCAATTTCATCTGGGTTTCTTTTGGGACTTACATGCCAGTTAGATACAAATATATTAGTGGAGGTAGCTCTTTATGAAAATTAATTTCTTTCTGGCTTAACTCATTTGTCTCCCTTGAGTCTGCTTTAAAACTGTTTTGGTCACTTTCCTTATTCCTTTATTTCAAGTAACACTTGCTAGGTTGTGGCTTTTATTTTACTTTTTTTAGTAAATTCCCTAATGCAGTGAATAAACTGCTTCTAAGTTCTTGATATAGTAATCATGTTAAACAAAATGGCCACATGTTAAGTAGAAGCATAATTACTTCATCTTTGTACAGATGTCTCAATCAAATATTGTCAGTCCTGTCAGTTTCTTATAGCATCTGCCTTTTCTTTCTTAGTGCTTGATATTTTTGTTTCAAGTTGAAAAAAAAGCAACAATCTACCTGTAACTTAACATAGTGAGGATGGAATCCTTGTGTTTCTTCCAGCTTGCATTAGATGGATGTAAAGAAGTCATGTAGTACCCAAATCCTCAGAACCTGATGGCCCTTAGTTGCTCCCTGTGTTTGGTTGGGCTCTTTTTTTCTTTTTCCCCTTGATTTACTGACCTGTGATTAAATAAAATAACAAGGAATTCTATAATTGATACTTTCTCGAATTAGCCCTCTTAGCCCTCATGCATTGGAGTACATCCATCTTGATGTGTTGCTGTTCTATTCACCTTCCTGTTTCTTAGCTTTTGCATCTGCCTTTCTGGCTTTTGAGGGCATTGCTATCAAATCAGCCATCCTTGTAGTGTAGGTTTTATTGCTTGCTTTCCTGTTCAGCTTCTTGTGTAAAGGTACCTGTTTCTGAGTCGTGAGCTGATACCCTTAGTGCTGATTGCAAGGACTCTTTAATATTCAATTTAGATTTGCTTTGCATCCAAAGATCTATCATTTATTGTGTGGGTGCTGTTTTTTACTGTGATATTTTGACTTCATAATTATACTGTGAGGGTTTGAGCTGTTGTTTTCCAGGTGAGTCTTCCCACCCTCAAGTTCTGCTTCTGCCTCCTCATTCCTTCTTCAGATGCCAGCCACTGCTTTCTCACCCGGAGGAGGTATGGAGAGATCTGGGCATGGCAAGACAGGCTGGAATTATTTTTGTGGTGGTCGGTGACTCCTGGAAGAAATGAAATGATTTAAAGGCTTGTGTATATGTTCAGGGAGAAAGGAACTAAGTCACTGGGAAGAAGATAGAAGGATGCTGGGTGGTATAATGCAACTTGGTTTTCTTTCTCCTTTTCCTGATTTCAGTGCCTGCTGAGGAGAGACGGCAGGATTGGCAGGAGGGATCAGGGAAGGAGGCACTACTTAGCACCAAGGCACACTTAGGTCGGTGAGGGAAGCCTGGGCTAGATACTGATTTCCTCCCCTCTGAAGGGAGAACGCAGTAAGCAGCGCTGCTGATTTGAGCTTTCTCCTGTGCTTCCCCTCACCATCAGGGACTACTGCTCTAGGGAACAACTTCTGGTGTAAAGAAACCTCCTTTCTGAAATGTTTTAATTGGAAGGCTTGTGTAGAGTTAAAACAGTCTAGTTCTGTTGCTATCACCACACTGTGTATGCAGTACTGTTACAAGATAAATGGAGCGTTTTCATTGCATTTCTTCCATCTTGTTTTCATGGCATTTATTCAAATTCTGCTGCGAGGACTTGTTTCTTTAAAGTACCACTTTCCAGGTACTAACAGATCTTACAGGCATGCCACTGCTGTTTTTTTAGTGCCCACCACCTCTATGATTACTGAGCTTTGCTTTTTTTAGTACGTAAACAGAAATTGTTGTTTGACAGTGGCTGTTTTGTTTTTCATACTGTTTTTCTTCCCAATTGCTTTTTAGGTTTGAGATACACTTAGTGTGGGGTGGCAGCTCTCACCAAGCCTGCTGACCTGGTGGAGGCTCCTTTTTCAAGTACTAAGTCTGGTTCAGCAATACAAAAGCACAGTCTGTTAATGAAATAGCAGTAGTTTGGCAGGAGCTGTTCGTGTATCTAGTAATGAAAAAGAACTTCCTTTTCTGTGGAACTTTTAACTACATGAATTTTAGATTTGTGGATTACATTTATGTTTTGCCAGACAAAATGTACAGCATATGTGACTTTCTTTTTTAGGCAATAATGAATCAAACAGACAAAAATCAACAGGAAGTCCCATCATACCTTCATGATGAACCACCAGAAGGTATGTATTAGTTTTTATAATTTCAAGTAAAGTCACGGAAGTTCAGATCTCTCTTAAAAAATTGGATCTGCAAGCTGAACACTTGAACTTTCATTTAAGTAACAGTGAGCAAGCCAACCCAGGGGTGGGATGGGCCTGGATTATTGTTCACTTTTGCATTATCATAATTACAGTAAGGCCACTGAATATAACTTGGTGAACAACTGTACTGATAAATTATGGAGAAGTTGGAGATACTGAAGGACATAATTTGCAGATTAGTTTCCAGAGATGCGAATTGGTCCAATAAGTATTTATTTCTGCTGTTCATTATGTGAGATCAAAAGTGAAGCTGGGCTCTTTCTGAGACCTTTCTGAGTTCATAGTGCTTGTGACTTTTAAACAAGGGATGTTTAAAGATACATGGAAGTTTATTCTTCTGGGGACCCTTTTCCATCATGATTAACTGTGGTTTGAAATGTTGACTTAATCTCATGGTTTTCTAAAAACAAATGCACACTTGACTTTATTCATGCAGTGGCATCTTGGTCTCCTGAAACAAATTAATCTTAAATTGGTTATTAGATCTGTAGAGGAAATAGAGTTGTAAATGAGCAGAGTTCCCTTCCAGGCTGTGGGATGGTGGGACTGTGAAGAATCCTGTTTCCATAATGTGACTGAAGTATGCTAGAGCAAAAGCCATTCTTGGCACATAGGTTGTCTGTGTTCTGTCTTTTGCTTTAAGACCAGATGTGTTGGATATAGAGGTCAGTGAATCACAATTCCTCTTGGTTCATTGCTCTTCCATTTATTATTTTTAATTATTACTTAATATTAAGGGTCATTTAGATGAGATGTTGGGGGATGTGGTGTAGGGGAGAACTTTGTAGAGTAGGGCTGTTAGAGGGATTCTGATCTCAAGGGTCTCTTCCAACCTGAATAATTCTGTGAGTCTATGATTATGACCCTTTAAAGCTTGGTTGGTTGGTTTAGGATTTTTTTCTCAGCTTTTATATGTTGTATAACTGAACAATTTACTTCACTTGAACAACAGTATTATCTACTAACTGTAGCAGAAGGGATTGAAGTGGAATAGCTCACTATTCTTAACAACTATTAGGCAGTAAACCCAAGTACAAGAAGGTGAGAGAAAAGGGAGAAATAGATTTTTGTGTCACAGTGGTTCTTAAGCTCTACTATACTTGAACTTGTTACAGTATCATGGTGTGAGGACAGAAATTTTTCTTTGTAAGCTCTTACAGGGTTGTCAAGATCCCAGAAGCATTTCTGAAAGCAAATGTCAGGTTGGAAACTATGCCCTAATGTGTTATCTTCAGATCTAATTTTTAAGGGTGTTTTGGGGGAAGCTTTGTTTTTTTTCCTTAAAGATTGAATTGTATCTTAACATGTTAAACTTCACATAGAAAGTGAACAGTGGTCTGACTGGTAAATACAACCAATTCTTTCTTGAGGAAGGCAGTGAAACAAGTGTATATTTTTTTTAATCTTCCTAGAATGTTCAGTAGGTTATCCAGATTCAAAGCATAACAGCAGAGTCTGATCATCACTACGTATTGCAAGGTTTTTATTTAAAATTTGTGAACAATTAAGACTGGTTTTTCTTCTGCACAGTATCTTCTTTCAGTATAACAATGACCAATTTGAATATGAAGTATAGATGGAGAAAGTTGGTGTAGTTAGAGGGAATAGAATGAAACACAGCTCATCTTAATGGGAAGTCCATCCTTGAAGAGGGTTTTTTCTTTTGGTCCTATTTAACATGCACTCTTCAAGCCTCATTAGTTTAGTTAAAATGTTGGCATACCCTTGAACATCCCTGTTTCAAATGTCATATGAGGCCTTTGTATGCAATATGCTTACACCATCATAGAAAGATGGCCAAATGTGGATGGAAGGCTACCAGTTCAATGTTGGCAAGATCAGCTCTCTGAACAGGCTGCCAAAAAAAAAATCCTTAGAGGAAAGGCTCAGTTCCAAAACCAATTTGCAGTTTTCTGTAAAGTTATAAATAGTTTCAGTTTGTCCAAATCACACTCGACAAGCTTGGTGCCCAAAGGCTTTAAAGAAATACATATGTAGAAGCAGCTTTTGTGCTTATGCTTTCTATGAGTAGTGCTGTTCTAATGCTTTATTTTCCACTTTGTGAGTGGTGCCAGCCTTTGCAACCTATGTTCCTTCAAACTCCTGTTGGTCTCTTCAGCAGGAAGCTGGCTGCAAGGTGGCATGGTAGAGCCAACCCCTGAACAGAGAACTTGGGTCGTTTTCTCCCTAGATTTAGGAATGATCCATTTTACATTTTTTCTCCTACTGGTTAGAAACAAGACCAGGCATGCATATCTTAGAACAGAAATCAGCTGGCAATAAAAACTCATTGCAGCTGCGAGCATTTACTATATCTCATGGGCAATGCAAACAGGAACAAAATGGGAATGTGTCAGCCATCACCAGAAGTTATTAATACACCAAGTCGCAGTCAATATTTACACTTGTGAAACAGAGTAGATGATGTCAAAGGATTGGCTAACTGAAGTAATGTGAGGAAGAAAACATGTCAAGATTACTTTTGTTTGTTCTCTCTTGTTATTTAAGTTAACTATGATGGGTCCTTTCTTGCTAACGGTAGATCTCATTCACTGAAATCAGCTCTTAGATTTCAGTGGGATAAAACTTTACTCCCTTTCACCCTGATAAGTGATCCAGTTAGGTGGAAGTGAAACACTGTCTCACCAAATTTTTTACAGGGTGTGTAAGTCTGGTGACAAGAATCCTCTAATGAGTAATACCTAGATAGTGGATTTTATACCATGCTGCATATACTCCTCTAAGTGTGATTGTTTAAAGGCTTTCTGTAGGTAAATAGAAATTCTGATCTCTGTGTGCTTGTGTCAGCAATGCATTTTTGCTGGAGATGGGGACATCTCCAGAGCTGAAAGCTGCTGGCCTAGAATGAACCAGCAAGGGCTTAAGTAAAAAGCTGTCCTTTCTGTTTCTAGTTTCCATGACCCTTTCTGTTATCTATATCAATTTCTTAAATGAGAGATTTTAAGCTGGAAGCATTTTTAGTATTTTTTGCTCCTTTGAGCTGTACTGTTCCTTTGTATGCTTTTTTTGGTTTGTTTTCTGTCAAACTTTTAAGAAATTCTCTGATTTAGATGGCATCTTTTGTTTGAATTACTCTAGGCACACACATAGGAATTCCTAATTTGCCACTTTTTAAATGAATTCTGAGTCCTGGGACAGTCCTGGCATTACTACTGACTAACTGGATGTTCATGGAAAGTTGTTCACCTTGGTTTTTGTCTTGTAGATGATGAGTGTTGGGAGGTGGCTCTTGGAAACTGTCCTCTGAATTCGAGATGTCAGCAGTCAGGGCACTGGAGAGAGAGACCTGTTCTGCTGGTCCTGCTAAGGCATGTTTCAGTGCAGAGTGAATGTACTGGCAGGGGCTGGATAGAAGTGTCTGGTGGATCTAGATCTGACTCTTCTTTTCCCCTGCCTCTCCAGACTCCTTGTCCTCTTCCAAGCATGTTCTTTCTGCTGCTGACTCCCTCACCTTTTTATTTCGTGTTTGTTTCCTCCATAGCTCTGCCCACTGTGGGTCTACTTGCTCTTTTCTTGGTTCCTTCTGTTGTTTTTCCCCTAAGAAAGGGAAATCCTGTATGATATCTACAGGTAGCTAGAAAATACAAAAAGCCATCAAACTCTTATATATTTGTGTTAATTGGCTGGCTCTTGCCATGGGTGCCTCTGAAACTTTTAGAAGTGTTTGGGGTTGGTGAGGAATTGACAAGACAGGAGCTGAAAAACACTTTCCTGTACAATGAGGACCGGAGATTTCTCAAGGGTCCCATCGAAAATACCTTGGAGACAAACATGTGTCAGGACTATTGGTTTATAGGTGCAGTAAGTGATACTTTCTTGTGTGCTTAAATACAACATTAACATACTGTTTCATTTTCCTGTTTCTTCTTTGAACATGAGATGATGTTTATGCAGTAGTAGGGCATGCCGTTGCACTCTTAATTCCGTTTGGAGGCAAGGTGCATGTATCTCTAGGATTTTGAAGCCTACATATAGAAATGCGAAGTAATTATTAAACTATTAGAAGGCAAATTGGCTCATTCTGGGAGTCTATTACTTTATTACTTTCTATTATTTTCAGGCTATGTAATTGTACTATAAACATGGAATAGGAATTGATTTAGGCAGCATATAGCAAGAAATTGTGCAAAATGCAGGTTAAACATAACATTAAAATGAAAAAAACATACATACGCGGTCAATAACATGCAGATACCCTGTGGCTTGACATTTGGTTTTGTGCGTCATATTGGGACTTCTGTTGGGAGGCTGTAACTCTTGCTATAGTTTATGTCTATAGGGACCACTTTTGGTATTTGATGAGCTTTTTGGCCATTGGACTTCCTTTCCCTGCCCCTCCATATCCAAATTACAAAAAAGGCCTTTTTGGAAGCAAATGAAATTTGTGTACATGATGAAGAAAGGAGCTGATATAGTGAAGAGTTGAGGTCAGTTTTGTCCTTCTCACAGTTCTTTTGACTCCTCTGCTCTCTTGTTTGTAACCTTCTTTCCCTCCTCCCTGACACTTTCACACAGCCCTTGTAAACACATCTTTGAAACAGTGATAACTTAGGGAAAGCAGCAACTTTGTTTCAAGGTGAGCTCTTTTCAAAGAGCAGCTCTTTTTTTTTTTTTTTTTTTTTTTTTGGTGTTTTTGTTTTGTTTTTTTGGGTTTTTTTAGTAAACCTTTTGGCTCTGCTTCTCCAGGAAACTTTCTAGTCCTTCCTTAGAGATTTGAAAAGCAAGATTGTGCTGCTGCTTTTGGGAGTGTGTCCCCCCTCTGTGGGGTAACTCTTAATATTAGGATGGGGGGAACAGGAGGGTGTGCTGCCCCACTCTAAATAAAGTCCAGAAATGAGGCTAATTTGGCCTTGACACTTTCCAAAGTCTGGGAAGTGGTGCATACAGAGGACAGAAGTTAATCACACAAGACCATCTGGGAACTATATGCCTGATATTTGTAGGCTCGGTATTGACTGGTGATTTCTAAAACAACATTGAGATATGTCTTGCTGCAACAAAGTGTGTTTTCTTACTTGGAACTATGGGGGTGTATGAGCATCCGAGAAAAGTACCCTGCAAGGTAGGTATATGCTGTGTGCAGTGGCTGTTAGGCTAGAAAAGTAAATACTTATGAACACTTTTTCTTTTGAAAATGCTTTAATCATAGCACCGTGATTGATTTGCTTGTTGTTTCCTCCCTTAGGTTCATTAAAAGACCACCCGCAGCAGCAGCCTGGCATGCTTTCTCGTGTGACTGGTGGCCTCTTCAGTGTCACAAAGGGAGCTGTTGGTGCCACGATTGGGGGTGTTGCTTGGATTGGAGGGAAGAGCTTGGAAATTACAAAAACAGCGGTCACATCTGTGCCTTCAGTGGGAGTGGGGCTAGTCAAAGGAAGTGTTTCTGCTGTAGCTGGAGGTGTTACAGCTGTAGGATCTGCTGTTGCAAGTAAAGTGCCTTTAACAGGAAAGAAAAAGGATAAGTCTGACTAAAACCAAAACTGAGACATACTCGATTCTCCAGAATATTACATCAGTGGCATTAAAATCTGCTAAGATTTGGACCATGAGAAGCCATGTGTCTTAGACACTTTATCTTCTAAAGAGCTGTGCAGGTAACTCGATTTCATCTGAAAAGGACAGAAGAAGCTTGTCTAGCACAGCGTATGAAGATTATTAGAGCCTAGATTGAAGCTTTGTATCTGGTGAAATGTTACACTTGATAACTATAGAAGTGAGTACCAGTATCTGAAGGGATAATATGTATTTGAATATTCATTTACTGTAAGTCTTTGCGGTTTTGGACTAAAATGTGAACATAGTAACTTGGTAGTCTCTGCCATACCATCAATTTGATGAGATGCCATTTACTGTTCTTAGTGGTTTCCAGATCCTTCTGCCTAAGGATCCTTCAGCTGTGCAACAACATTGTTGGATGTACCTGAATAGTTTCGGTCATGAAACTTTATCTGCAGGCTGGTGGTAAACTGTCAGTGACTGTATTCTGCCAGTGAGGACTGGAGCAAATAGGACCGGAGGTGCACAGAAATTGGAAATGAGAGCAGGAGATAGAAGTGAGAAAGTTTGACAGCATGGTAGAAGGGATCGTAAAGAGTAAACTAACTTAATGCCTTATTAGAAAAAAAGTATCTTTTTACTGGGTGAAGCTGTGTAAAGAATTGTTCTGTCATTTCAGTGCAGTTCACAGAATGACCTTTAGACTCTTTAAGAATCCCAATATCTGAAACCTTGTAAATTTTTACTGAAAATGAGATTGTTCCATCTCAGGTGTATTTAATGATATGCGTCTATCTCCTGCAAGTGAAAACTTGCTTCTAATAAACTTCTTCTAGACATTAGAAAAAATGATGGCTTAGTGGAAACTGGGCTGATGTTTGTGGTCATCTAGCACAACTGTCTGACTTGAATGAAATTCCTTTGTGTAGTTGGAAACCACTGAAGAACTAGAAAAGCTGCTGTCTCAACTCCATCATGCGCCAGGTTAGCTTGGAAAAATGCAAGGAATTTTTCACTACATCTTTCTCTAATACTTTGCATTTTGATTTTTGAGTAAAATGCAATACTTTTATTTAAAACAAACCAAAAAATGTAGATGAGGCCTTAAAAAAGAAAGAAACATCTTCCAAGTAAATTGTATACTGACAGATTCCAAACATTGACACACCTCAAACGGGAACATCTGTAGGTCCTCTGCAGTGTGAGGCAAAATGCACTTGTAATGACACAGCTTGAGGTTGCCTTAAAAAATAGCTGTTAGTGATTTTTTTTGTGTGTGTGTGTACTGACTTTGCAAATAAGTAACCTCTTTGGAAGCCCACAGAAGAAGGCCATGATGTTGTGTATACAGTATTTTCTAAAAACTTTTGTTCCAACATATAACTTCTAAGCATGTAAACTTACATTTTCAGTGGCTATGGTTGTACACAAAGGATATATAGGGAGACTTTAGAAATTTTAAAAAATCAGAACATATCACTTGTCTAAAACTTCTACATTCATGGGTGTTGAAAGTACATTATGTGTAAATTATGGTAGTCACCTAGTCTCTCTGAGCCATTGGTACTTCAGCTGCACTCTGGAACAACTTTATTTGATATCAGTAGCTGTATATGTTGGTAGCATGGTATTTGTAAGCGTGGGGAATTGGGGCAGCGGGGAGAGCAAAAACCCAACAATTGGCATTATCTGCTCCTTTTGTTAGATACACCAGCTGCTTAGCTCCAATATGCTGCAAGGGTGTGATGAGGTAAGTTTATGCAACAAATGGAAACCTTTAATTGTTTTTATAGTCAGAAACTAATTGCATAGAACATAGTGTAGTTTAAGGATACTGGTTAGCTCTAGAAATGAGCTTGCTTGGATATTGGAGGCAGTCTAGCTGCAGCAAATGATTTAGTGTGGTCTGTTCCCCTGCAGTTTCCAATGGAGGCATATACCCAGAGCGCTACTGCTGAACTCTTTGAGTCATCTGTTTGGAGCATAGTGGTATTTGTGACACTCCGTCAAACCCTTCCGAATTGTTGAACTGCTCATACCCCTTTTTTTATGACATTCTCTCATTTTTATACTATGAAACTTGCTGCAAAACAAGTGTGGTCTGAGATAAACAATGTTAGATCTGTAAAGAGCTGCCAACACTTCATTATGTTTTGTTCTTAACATATCCTGTAGTTATTACTTCTGAACCTTGTAACTAAAACTTTAACATGGCATATGGTTTTAGTTTTTGAGAAGAGCTTTGTCCTATATCCTGCATATTTTCCATTCCCTTATGAAACTCGCTTCGTCTTAAAAACTTGTTCTGATTCTGTCCTGACACTTGTGAAACATTAAACTGTTGCTGTTTCAGACATTTGAAAGCTTCCTCACTTAATTTGTGGAGAAAGGCATACTTAGGTGTAAACCTTCCTGCAGTATGATGCCCCAGAGTGTCATATATCTGCATCTAAGTATCACCAGCCAGCTCTTAACAAAAACTGTAACGTCAGTGTGTAGGCTGTGCATAGACACAGCACAGAATTCTTTGAACTCATTTTTCTTTTTCCTGGGAGCTGAGGCTTGGGGATACCCACTTTTAAGTTTGTAGAGAGCTGAATGGAATTTGGAATTTAAATTTTCAGGGGGAGTGGGGCTGTTCTTATGTCTTGAGTTTGTTTTTTTGGTGGGTTTATTTTACTCTCCTTTTTTCCCAGCCCCCATTTCAAAAGGGGAAATGTTTATGAAAACTACTTGTATGCCTGACTGCTTGCTATGTAACGAAAGGCTGGTCTACATGTGCCAGACTTAAACGGTATAAACTGGTTCACGTTCACTCTGACTAACAGCAAGAGAAGAGAAAGTAGATTTCAGCAATACAATGTTTTGGTAATTGGGAGCTTCCCTGAGGTTTTATTATAAATGAATCCTGGGAAGAAGAGAGGAACAGGTCCCAGGCATAGAGTTATGAATGAAGAATTAAATTAATTTCAGTGTGCTGGTAGAGAAAAGGAATCTTTCTGCTTTTGCCTTTGTTTTGAAAGGGGAGGAGGATAAATTGACACATTCATAATGGAAAATGAGTTTGTGATAACTGAGGTTGTGACTCAGTTAAGGAAATATGTCACTTTTCTATTTTGTCCATTGCCACTGGAAATTCTGTAAGTGATGGGAATAAGCAGTTTCAGGAACTTTAAAAACAGATAACTATAGAAATGCTGAAACTGAATTTTTGAGGAAAACATTGGGTTATATCTTGGTTTCCTTTTTGTCCTTAAACCGCCAATCAGTTCTGTGGTTCAGTGTTTCAGATTGTCTATGAATAGCTTCAGAGAGCAGAAATGCCCCCTTGTGTATGAGGGGAAGGATGCTTTTGAATTCAAATAATATGTGGTCTGCTTAATAGTTGAGCCCTGAAGGACAGTCAGAAAGTGACAAAGTCAAGTTCCTATGAATTTTTAATATGGCTGTCTTCCCAGTTTCCTCTTAGGGAATGATAATATGTTTTGAAGAGTCAGCAAAGAAATGGGCTTAGTAAGACAACCTGACTTTTAGCGTGCTGGTGGTACATGCCCCTTCTTGAATTCTTGCCACTGTCACACATGTTCCTACAAGAGCAGTGTTTACCCCCACAAGCTGCTCTCACGTCCACGCTCGTCTGCATGGCCGTGAGTTTAAGACCTTCAGCTGTTGAGATCTTGGCACTGCTCTAACCAGATGTTTCTAGCTTTTCCCAAGCTTGCAGTGGCAGGCTATATAAAATCATCATCTTGCAGCCCACCCTCTACACAAGTAATTCAATCCAAGCTTTCTTCAGCAATTTAAAACTTTTAAGAAAAGGAACCCTGGACTTGCTGCCAAAATGTCTGTTAAAAATGACCTTGAACAATGGCCCAGAGTGAGGGGGTTGTGTGACTGTTTTTTCTCCCGCTGTCAAGAGGGAATGTGTATGGAATAATTGCTTAGGAAAGTCTTTCTGTGAAATGAAATCACTGATGATCCTAGTTCTGTTGAGATGATTGTCAGTGATGCTACTATTTTATATTATCATTCACAGCCCGTAAATGAAAATAAATAAAATCCCCTGAGAATTTAAACACTGTCAGATAGTTACTATTTTGAAAGCCAGCACTTGTCAACAATTACCATACGGTGATATCTGAGAAGCAATGTCACCCATATATTTAGAAACTGTGGCAGCTGTTTGCAAATCGGGTAGTCACTTTTAATCACCAGTGGTTTATAGACTAGAGTTTTGTTACACCTAATATAAAAGCATGACGTTTTCCTTTTTTCCTACAATCATTTGAGACTTGAGTCTCTCCTGACCCTTTTCTCTCCATAAGCTTGCTAGAAAAGAATAAATTAAGAAGTAGACAGTAGCAATAAATGTATTTCCTCCTGCCCCCCAAACCTTTTGCAAAAGGAGTAAATTTTGAAGTCTCAGAAATGTAAAGGAGGGTGTCTTGTAGCTTCTTTGTGTTATGGTTTGTACACAAACATACTAGGGCCTCATGCAGCAATCACTAAATAAAAAATATTATGTCTTGCCCCTGTTCCCATACTGCGTTCTAGCCAGGCTTTCCTATCCAAGAAGTCAAGTCTGCTGCAGGGCAGGATCCAGGAGCTAGGGCTACTTACTGCAGCGATAAGGAACAGAACTCCAAAAGAGTCTCCAAAAAGTCAGTGAACCATGGGTTGATGAACACTGCTGGGAAAAAAAATCCCTCCTTTTCTCTGTCTCAGATAAAGATTGTGCAAATCACTACCACAGGCTGGACTGTGCAGTGACAGAGCAGAAAATATGAAGCAGTTAGTGCCCTGATAGATAAGGAAAAGCAACAGAATCAAACAGCCGTGAGGTACTCGCGGGGGGGGGGGGGGG